CGGTTCCCCGGGGTGGCGATGCCGGTGTCCCGGGGCGGCGGTGGCCGTGCCCCCGGGGTGGCGAGGCCGGTGTCCCGGGGCGGCGGTGGCCGTGCCCCCGGGGTGGCGAGGCCGGTGTCCCGGGGCGGCGGTGGCCGTGCCCCCGGGGTGGCGATGCCGGTGTCCCGCACATCCCCGCGCCGGTTCCCGGAGCCCCCGTCCCGCGGCCGCGCCCCGTGCGGGCGTGATTGGCCGGTGCCCTCCCCCGTATGCAAAGCAGGCGGGGGAATGACATTCCCCGCACTCCTCCCGCCCGCACCGACTCGCTCCCGGCCGCCTCCATCCATCCCGGCCGCGGCGGGCGCCGGGCGGGACGCGGCACACGGGACACGGGATACGGGACACGGGACCCCGCGCTCCCCACGCGTGAAGACCCCGCCATCTCCCCCCGCCGCGGGAATGCGCTTTCTCCGAGCACTCCTCTCGAACCCCGGCCGGCAACCTGTGGGCTGATCTTCTTCCCCCCGGCAACTTTTTGGGCTGATCGTCTTCCCCCGGCAACTTTTGGGTTGATCTTCTTCCCCCCCGGCAACTCTCGGGTTGCTCTTCGCCCGGTGCTTCCCGTCTGCCTTCTCCTCGTCGGGCTCCTCCGCCGCCTCCCTTCGCGGAAGGAAAGCTTTCACTCCTTCAACAGCACTGATTTTGCTGGGTGGTTTTCTTTTCTTATTTTTATTTTTTTTTTTTAGCTGTGGCTGGCGGCTTTTGTTTTTCCGTGTGTCTGTGTGTCTGTCTGTGTGTGTGTGTGTGGGCTTTTCGGAGCAGGTTGGCCGTGTCCATCCCGCTGGACGAGAGAAAAGCCATGTTTCCGAGAGCAGGCTTCCACCTGCTGCGGTTCAAACATTGTTAAGCAGCCGGTTTCTGTGGCCGAATTAGAGGAAGACTGTCTCAGATACTAAAAAAAAAAAAAAGGAGAGAGAGAGAATTGGCAATGAGTGCCGAAGTTGTTGCAGGCTGTTGGTTTGACTGCTAAGGAGGACGTGAGTGGGAGAGAGAGAGCGCTGTTGCACACACAAAACCACAGAGAGAACCCACAATTTAACCAACATCCCCAAACCCGAGTTTTCGGCTGTGGACCTTTTAGCCTCAGAGCTTGCGATCGGCTGCGACCTTTCTTTAAGCCGATGAAAGGCGTTACACCAAAGATAGGGATTCGAAGCTTGAATGCAATGCCCTGAGCTTTTCTTTTTTCGCTCTTTTTTTTTTTTCTTTTTTTTTTTTTTTTGCGCAAGAATAATCGAGAGGTCATGACACGACTACTCTTAGAGAGACGCGAACCAAACTACTGAAGCTCATTTTCAAGGCTGCTTTAAAAAAAAAAAAAAAAGAAAAGAAAAGAAAAAACTCTGAGAGAACATTAATGGATTCCTGTTGTGTTTAAATTCTCTACAGATTGTACTGTAAATATTTTATGAAGTCCGGTATATGTGTGTGTGGTTGCGTGTGTGGACGTGAATATATATACACAGAGTTGTAGCCAGCTGACCTTTGATCACAAAGTCTCGCTCTCGTACCGCCTTCTCTGAAGACAACCCCGAATTTCCCTCTCGAAAAGAGCCATTTTTTGCCCGCGGAAGGCGCCGGTGTGGTTTATTTTCTCTTGAGACTGTAGAGAAATCACCTGGAAGAAACCGATAGGCGGCTGACAGGGAAGCCCGGGCTTTGCGCGTGTTTCTTGTTACTTGGTCGCCTCCCTTCTTCTTTTTTCTTCTTTTTTTTCCCCTTGGGGAGTTCGGAATGAGCTTTCTCCCCGAGAACTTTTTGTGGCACGGCCGCGGACTCGATGCGCGGTAAAGCCCCGCACGGACGCCCCTTGGGTTTATCGGATTAACGCGTTTGTTCCGCCGCGCCAGGAAGCCAAGAGTTAAGTCTGGGCGCGCTCTCTCTATATCTCAGCAAAAAAAAAAAAAAAAAAAAAAAAAATTAACTTCGGGGACTGGCGTAGAAACGAGTTTCCCGCGGGTCCTCGGCCCGTCTCCGTTTATGTTGGTCCCCAGAGAGCGGCTCGCCGAAGAGTTCCGCTCGCCTCGCTGTTCTGTAAGAACTCCGTGGAGGTCCCTCACTCAAAAGGCTTGTTGTGATGCGTATCCCCGTAGATACCAGCACCAGCCGCCGCTTCACGCCGCCCTCCACCACGCTGAGCCCGGGGAAGATGAGCGAGCCGCTGGCGCTGCCCGGCGCCGAGCACGGCGGGGCTTTGCCGGGGAAGCTGCGCGGCGCCGACCGCAGCATGGTGGAGGTCCTGGCCGACCACCCCGGGGAGCTGGTGCGCACCGACAGCCCCAACTTCCTCTGCTCCGTGCTGCCCACCCACTGGCGCTGCAACAAGACGCTGCCCATCGCCTTCAAGGTACGTCCGCCCGAGCCCCAAAACCAGCGCGTCGGGGGGTAGGGGTGGCGAGGGGAGGGATGGAGGGATGGGGGGCAGCGTGTGCGCCCCGAGGGTGGGGGGCACGGGGCGCTCCGAGCCGCGCCCGGGCAGGGACGGCTCGCTCCGGTGGTCCTCCTTCCACCCTTCCTCCCATCCTTCCTCTCACCCTGACTTCCACCTTTCCTTCCAGCTTTCCTCCCACCTTTCCTTCCACCTTTCCTTCCAGCTTTCCTCCCACCTTTCCTTCCAGCTTTCCTCCCACCTTTCCTTCCACCTTTCCTCCCACCTTTCCTTCCAGCTTTCCTCCCACCTTTCCTACCTTTCATTCCATCCTTCCACCCATCCATCCGCCCTTCCATCCCTCTCTCCATCCTCCCTCTCCCGCCCGGGCTGCGGACAGGAGCGAGCGCTGGCAGCTGAGGAATGCGATGGGCTGGGAAGGCTCTCTCCAGCCGCTGCCTCCCTGCTCTCCCCATTCATAACTCCGGCTCTGCTCAAGGGAGAGGGAAAAAAAAAAAAAAAGTCAAAAAAAAAAAAAAAAAGAAAAAAAGCCAGAGCCGAGGAGTTTGGCTGCCCTGGGGACCAGATGCCGCAGCCCGCTGCAGACGGATGCAGGCGGCTGGGAGCTGAAGGAGCCCCCGGAGCTGAAGGAGCCCCGGGCTCGCCCAGAAGTCGCCCACGGCGGTGGCGGGTCCCTTTGCCACCCACGGGGGACACCCGCCCTCCTCCGCGGGCCCCGCTCGGGAGGCACCGCGTTTCCCCTGCCAGGGGGGTAAAAAAAACCCATCAAACCAACCCACCAACAGTCCAAAACGCATATTTCCTTTTTTTTTTTTTTTTTTTTTAATTGGCTGATTTTAATAATAGTAAAAAATCGAGGCCTAACCTCGGGCAGACCCTGCGGCCGCTCGGGGTTCTCCAGTTTCCAGAGTTCCTCGTAAATCCGAGGAGAAAAGATGGGGAGGAGGGCACGGGAGAGGGTATCCCGGCTCCCTCCTGTCACGGGCCGCCGGGACCCTGCCGAGCGGTGCCTCCCGGGTGCTTGTCGGGCTTTCCAGCCTTCCCGTTACCGGGGTTCGAGTAAAATTATCCTCCCCTCGGAGTAAAATTATCCTCCCCTCGGTCACGCTCTTTTTTTAACTCGGGCCTGTCGCTGACTTCTTGAACGCGCTGCTTTTCTTGCTCCTGCTGCAGATGCGCTTCCGAGCAAGGGAAGGAAAAGGTAATTATTCTCGTTATCCTTTTATCCGAGGCGGGAGCCGCACAGACACGCAGCTGCCGAGGAGCCCCGGGGTTAGATTTAGGATGGGGATTTGTCGGGTTCGCGCTTTCTTTTGCGGTCACTCCCAAACCCCGACAGCCTCGGTACAACTTTGTGTTTGAAGGCCACCAGACTCGAGTCTTTTCCGACGGCTTTTTGGGGAGAGGAGAGACGAGGGAGAAGGGAATCAGCTCAGCTCCCGGAGCTTCGGGAAATCCCGCTGACGAGGCGGCTTCGGGGCAAAGTTTTATTATGTCTGGTCCTCTTGTTTTACGCAGATAGGAGTCTGGGGAAAATGGGAGGAACTAATCGGCAGGGTCACTTCCTAAATTCCCACATTTAGATTAATTATTACACTGTTACCCACGCACTCGGCGGCTCCTGCTAATTGCTCGGGAAGTTCAGCTCCTGGAAGGCAGGGAAAAGCCGCTCCGCCCCGCCGGGAAGGGAGATAAGAGGAGTTCCCGGTGTTCCTTTTTTTTCCTGGGGGATCCCTGTGGCCAAAGGCCACGGTGGCGGGTCCCCGCGGGGCCACGCGTGTCCCTGTCCCATCCCCGGGCATCTCCCGGCGGGGACCGGGATGGAGAAGGCACAGGAGATGTGGCTCTTCCCGCTCCTGCCCGGCCGAGCCGGCAGCGATTTTGGGATTCTCCTCTGGAATGGGGGCTTTTGGAGGCAGGGACTGTCCTTGTTACGTGGAAATTGCGGGAAGCAAAGCCAGGGAAGGTTTCGAGAGGTGCCCAACGCCGCTCCCCCCCCGCCCGCGGCCGGCGCGGCCCCCGCCGCCTTCACCGGCAACTTCTCCAGGAGTTTGTAACAGCGGGATAACTCAATACAAGAGAAAAATAATAAATCAAAACATCCCCCCCAAAAAAAACAGGGGAAAAGGTTTCCTTATGAGCCCCTGGAATGGTGGGCTGGGAGACACCTGCTCCTCGTCTTCACCTCCCCCCAAAATTCTCCGTGGATTGCCGAGAAATGAGTCGTGGAATAATTTACCACGTGTAAAACGAGCTTGTTGGGTTCATGCTAAATACTGAATATTCGCAAAGGCGTTTTTAAAAGTCGTGGGGTGTTGTTTTGTTGTTTTTTTTTCAGGTGATTTGGACCAGGAGTTAGAAAATTCGGGTCAGGTGGTTCCTTCGCATCTGACAAAAAAGCGCTGAGTTTTGTCAGGTGTTTGTTAACAACCATTGCATGAACAAAAAGAGAGAGACGGAGAGTTTTCTCTTCATGTTTCCCTAGAAAAATTCATTTGTGGTGTTTGATCGGGAGACTGTTTCAAACCAAAATTAAAATTTTTTTGATTTTTAAAAAGCTTTTTTTTTTTCCTAAAAAAAGAATGATTCTGAGAAACTTAAAAACTATTATATAATAGCTAACAAGTTGCTATAGAAATTCACTGTCCAACTGCTGTTAAGAAAGAATCTAAATCTTAATTTAAAAGGCCAGTTTGGTTTGACCGATGCGGGAGAAGTAGGTAATTTAGATACCCGACAGACCCGCAGTGCTGATACTCTTCTCGCTTCTCTGGCAACACATATTTTTTAGAGGTAAAGAGTGCAACAAAGTCCTTGATAACTCCAGTCAGCAAGTCTCAGCTTATCTGTTTAGTCTGTTTTCTAATGTAAATGTTTGTATTTCTGTTTCTATTGTCTGGGACTTTTAACTCCAGTTTCTTTTCTGGGCTGTGGCAGCTTTATACTTGTTTCTGATTTTTTTTTTGTGGAGGTGAGATTTGGAAACGGTGCTTTGAAATATTTGCTCTGTAAGGGCCAACTACCCCCAGATTCACAAAAATCTTTTGTGAACTCTCAAAATCCCGGAATATATTTCCTTAAATGAATGTGCAAACATTTGCATCGCAGGGCAATGCCCTGATTTTTCCCCTTTTTGGCCTTTCTTGTGCCTGGGATACAAGTGCTTGCATTAAGGTTTCACGGTGGTTTTTTTAAGAAGTGGGTGCCTTGGGTTGGAAGTTGATTGTGAGACTGTGCAAGGAGAAGAGTGTGAGCTCAAGCATTTTGAGCAGGGACTAATTTAGGCCAAAATCAGGGAAATTTGGAAAGCCCAACGCTGAGCAGAGCACAGGCCCCAGGAACACGTCCTGGAACCCAGAGGAGAACAAAAAAAACCCAACAGGCTGGGCCGGGGAGGAACGGGGAAGAGGAAGTTGAAATGGAGACGTAAAGAGGGAATTTTGACCCAGTGATTTGAAGTTTGCATGTGGAAGTGAAAATAAGGGTTGTTGGTGGCAAAAGGGAGAGCGCAGAATTGAGAAGCTCGGCCTCCCGTGGAAGGAAAGGCTGGGAAATACCTGAGACTGGGGGCTTCTCCCAAATCCTGGGAGGTGGCTGTGGCTGGGGAATAAAAAATCAGGGATTGATCGAGCAAAGGAGCTGCTGATCCCCTTTTGGGAAGGACAAATGTGATTAGAAACCGAGAGAAATAAAACCGGGCCGTGAGAAGCTTCAGCCGATTCTAACGGCCTGGATGTGAGCTAGAAAATTCTAAGAGGAAGGAAAAATATCAAGCTGCAGCTCAGAGGGCACGATGAAGGGCTGCTTCCTCTTAGAATGTGCAAAAGAGGAATTAAAAACTAGCTGGATTTTTTTAAATCTTTTTTTTTTTAATTATTTGTGGTAAGAGTCATGTAGACTTAATTGAGGGAACAGCAATATATCTTGTAAAAACAAGATATAGGGGACCAAACCCAAGCTCTTATTTTTGCCAGAGTGAATGGAGAGACACCCTACATACCCATTTGATTGCAGCAGGGTAAAACTGTTCAGAGGGTTCCATCCTGCTCAAGAAATTGCAGTAAAAATCAAATTTTTCATCGTTTGATCAGTGTGAACGGCGTAGATACAGGTCAGAACATTTAAGATCAGAAATCTTTGGGTCTCTCAGGTCGTTGCACCAAAAATTCAGTGAATCTTGTGTTCCTAAATGTTTGTTTGATGCTGGCACCAAGGAGCTCCAGCACAAGCATTTGGGGCCAGGTAAAGCCTTTGGCTGAGCCAGGGCAGATTTCCTTAGTTCAGATCATGATTTCCGTCCATCAGGTGAGGCCTGAAGTCAATTATTCGCTTTTAAAGGGGAAAAAAAGAAGTTGTTCACTAATTTGAGATGAAACATTTGATTGAGGCCCGATTTTCCACGGATTTACCCAGAATTTATGCTGGGACAGCTCTGTTAAGGGCTACTGCTGTAAACGAGACCGGCAACAGGTCCTGTTCATGGGATTTGTGTACTGAAAATTACAGATGTATGTTTTGGAAAGCTGATTTCACCTATTTTTCATCTCAGAGTACACATCTCGCTGGGTATTTCAGAGGCCCAGCAGTGCAAAACTTCCCAGTCCAGTTGTTAAGAAAAACAGGGTTTGAAATGGTGGGAAGTCCACGACGAGGAGTTAAAAAAGATGTACCTTATATAGTATATTATTGTGGTAATATCGTAGATGCAATGATATATTAAAAAGAAATCACTCTTTTAGGTCCTTCAGGGAATTCAGGAAATGTGGGGAAGAACAGTGGAAAAGAGTTGGGAAGCATTTTAGTGCAGTAACAGGTCAACCACCAGCACTACTGACACCGCTCAGCAGTGAGCCTACACGTAACTTGTCTGCTCAGAGTTAAAACTCTACAATCAAAATTGCAAAAAAAACCCATTTGGCTTGATTAAAGAACGACAAAGTGGACAAGGTTTTGGGGAAGAGGAGGATTCCCACCGCAGCAAAGTAGGAACGGAAACGATTCCCGTCTTCCCAAAAGAACTTCTTAGACTCAGACTTCTTAAGACTTCTTAGACTTCTCCACCCAGATTTTTGCTGTCGCTCCTTTTTCCTCGTTTTTTTCCCAGCTGAGGGGGTCTTGCTCCTTGATTTCGCAGGTGGTGGCCTTGGGGGACGTCCCCGACGGGACGCTGGTGACGGTGATGGCCGGGAACGACGAGAACTACTCGGCGGAGCTGCGGAACGCCACGGCCGCCATGAAGAACCAGGTGGCGCGGTTCAACGACCTCCGCTTCGTGGGCAGGAGCGGGAGAGGTACCTCTTTGCTCTCAGCTGCACCCCCCTGCTCGCCTGGTCGTGGCAAATTCCCGGGGTGGGCTCGCGGGGGCCGCTTCCGAAGGGTGGTTCCCCTCGTTTCGCCGTCGCCCGTCCCCCGGCGTCGCTTCGGGTTTCTCGAATGGCAAAATCTCGGTTGGGGGAAAAAAAAAAAACCAACCAAAAAAAATCAAAACCTCACAGAAAGTGGCATTTTGACTCCGGGAGCCGCCCCTGTTGGTTTAGAGCAGCACGGCGTTACCTGTGGTTAAGCTCAAGTGGCGTGTTTTGAGTTTAAAATGAGAATTTTCGTCTTCTGTAGGGACTCGCGATGGGGTTCCCCTTCTAGTTTCTGCAGCAGAGCGGGTCTCTCTCAATATTCCCTGCACAGTGCAAATATTTCCTGCATAGATCTGAAAATTCTGCGGGTTCATCCTGACCTGCTAAAGGCACAGGGCATGTTTTCTGGCCTGTTTTCCCCTCAGGATGCACCGGTCCTGTTAGTTAATGTCTGCTGCAAAGTGGATGGGAGAGAGCAGCCAGAACAGAGGGGTTTGATACCTGACTTGCTCTGTCTCTGCCATAACCAGTAATGACTGGTATGTAAGTAAAAAGGCCTTTGGAGCATCAATAACAAACAGGATTTGGAGTTGACTTGGGCTGGGACCACTTAAAAATGTCATCTGGAAGCTGCAAACAGAACCCGACGCGTGCGGCTCACGCTGCCCGTGGGTGGGCAGGTGCACAGAGCTTGACCCAAAAAAAAACCAACATAAAGACCCTTTGCAGCTTCACCCTTTGGCTCCAAGCCATCATCTTAAACCCCATAAATTCCAAGCCACCATGTTTACCGTCCTATTAGTTTATTTTAAGTGCTTCCCTTAAGGGGAGTTTGGGGAGGTTCGGTCAGACCCGCGGAAGAGAAGCCAGAGAGTTGTTGTTGCTCAGAGGGAGCTCAGAAGAAAGATCAGCCTCTCTCTCTCTTAAGGTCAAGGATGAAAACCTGTCACATCTCCCGTGTGACTTCACGTGATGTTTACTTATGTTTGTCTGCAAGTAAAACTGGCAGGTTTTCGTGGCGTTCCAAACACCGCGGTGTTGTTCCAGGACGATTCGGTGCCGTAACGCTCACAGTTCCAAGTGAGAGCAGCTACTGCACTTCAGCAGGTTTCCTTTCAGAGCAACCTGTGTCTCTCAGAACCAGAAGGAATGCTCCTCAGGGGTTGCTGATCCCTCCTGACCGTTTTCCCTTCCCTCTCTCCCCGTGTGAGCATCCGACCCGGCGCCCGGTGTGCGGTTGCCCGCGTGGCCCTTCGGGAGAGTTACAAGGGTGACCCACTTCTGCTCGCTCGCTCCCCAAGTGTTTTGCTCCCCATGGGAGATGGGTCAGGCTTCTTCAGAGCGAGGAAGTGATGCTGATTATACACCACAGCCCTTATTTCCCTTTGAAGTGAAATGCAGCTGGAGATCCCCTTCCAATGTAAATACGGTCGCAACGGTGGCAGAGCGTGGCCCCGCCGAAACATCGTCCGAGCAGTAAATACTTTGTAGGAATAAAACACCAACCCAGCTCCTCTGTCTCTCCTGCAGCATTTTTAGCTGAGGATACAGAGGCAGATGTCTTTCAAATTGTGTTGTTTGGGCCGTCTTCAAATGCACTCGGTGGAAAACACCCGCAGCTGAGAACGTAGCTTCATAATGCTAGCAAAGAATAATAATAGGGTAATGCAGAGAAAATTATATCCATTTACTGAAAACACGAGGGATGCTGTAATGTCTGAAAGTATCAGTCATTAAACGTGTTCATTTGTTATATTAAAGGTACCACCTTTTCAGTAAATGGAATTTGCATTATGATTCAGAGATGACTGTTTAGAAGATTCAAATGAATAGCTGGCAGAGTGGCGGAGAAGCTAATAAAAACAAACCTGTAGTTCAGTTCCTGGCCATGGTAATGAAGCTAGAAATCATAACAGTGAACTGTGTGAGCCTCAAGGTCAAAATCCAGCAGCTGAGAGAAAACAGTCCCTATTCATGCAGCAAAGCCTGGCAGGGAGCACCGTGGAGCCCCTTACCCTGCTGGGAGTGGTTGCCAGTAGGTGGTCACTTGGCCCCAAGACATAAACCTTGCCCGTGGTGTGATATCCAGGGGCTCAGGAGCCTTTAAGTAGTGGAGTGAGTTGGGAATGCTGCGTGCTATTAGTCAGGCTTGGAGGTTAAATCTCATCACCTGCACTGGCCGCCCATCTCTGGAGCAGTGACTAATGTATGCTTTTGTTTACTCCTGAACAGGGGATTGTTTTCCAAAGGTGGGGATTGTTTGCACTCAGTACGGGATTTCTGAGGTGCTGTTCTGTTGAATTTGTATAAAGCCTAAAGCAGAAGGTGGCTGCTTCAAAGGGCATTGCTTCCTTTGATACCCGGCTGGAGGAAAATTAACCCAAACTTTGTTTGCCGTGTAATATTTGAGCTCGAACAAGTTCAGCTGCCACCAGTGATAATGCCATGCCAGGAGCGTTGTGTGAGCAGTGGCTGAGAGTTCACGTTGGTTATGGGCAGAGTGGAGGCTCCTCGTGTCCAGCAGGTGATTTAAAATCACCTGGTGGAGAACAAGGAATGGCTTGGAGGGGTGATGGTTCCCTCTTCACCCATATCAGCCCCCAGCCCCGTTAAAATCCCATCAGAGCCAACAGCTCCCTCCCTTCTGAGCAGGAAATTCTCACTCTTGACGCTCTTAATAACCAGTTTAAATTTCCTCCTGTGGGCCTTCCATGAAATCCAGCCAGGCAGCCCGTGTCAGCCATTAAAACATCATCCACATTTTCCTCCTGGATGAGGGAGGGTCACAGCAAGTCCCCCAGAGCAGGGGGATTTATTTCTCCCAACCGATATTTGGCACCAACCAAAACTTCAGAGCTCCCAAACCGAGTTTCAGCATCGTTTCGTGTGGTTGCCCCGTGTTGCTCAGCCCATTGTTGCTGTTTAGAATTAAAAAAACCCCAAGCCCTTGATTTTTCCTGACCCCCAGAATGGGAGCTGAGATTGTCACGGGTCGCCCGAAACCTGGAGATGTTGTATAAAGGCAATTTGGCTCCTTTTCCTGAACAAAACCGATTTACACTGGGCTTGGCTGGGCTCCAGAGTGACTGTTCCTCACCCTGTTTTGAGAATGCTACTGGGCAAACCTGCCTGTCTGGCTTGGAAGTGATTTCTGAAAGAAAAATGTCGTTTTTAAAGCTTGACCAACTCTCAGTCTTCCCCCCCTTTCCTGATTACCTGGTTAAACCAAAATTAATCTCTATTTTTCACCCTCCATTCATAAACACCTCAATGCTGCTGCAACATATCCTGTTTTCTTAGTGTACAATGAACCGGTTTAGGTTGCTGTGATGAAATGCATCTGATGCAAAAAAAGAAGTTCACTGGGTAAAATTAAAAATAAATAGTTATTTTGGAGAGGGAAAGCTCCGTGGCTTGGTGAGCACGACATATTTTCCTCATGGAATCACTAATCCCGGTTACTATCTATTCTTTGCGGGGCCGTAACATTCCAAAAACCCCAACAAATAAACATGTTTTCCAGATGAAAACGATTATTAATAGGTTATCATAATAGTAGCTAATGGAGAGGTGCCTTGGCTTGCTGCTGGAGATCTCAATCTCGAGCTGAGAGCTGGAGCTTTGTTTTTCAGCAAGGCCTTTTCAAAACTGACTCTTGGAAAGGGCTGGAAATTAAGGCTCCCTATATATTTCCTACTATCTCTCAGGATTGGAGCCATGAGTCAGTTTTGTGGTGGTTTTCAGCCTCCACAGAGCCAGAGAAGGTGTAGCTGGAAGGAGAACACGAGGGAGGGATATTACCAAGCACAGTCAGAAGTTTCTGCCATCAGGACTCTTCCTTCTGGATATAATTTTCAGGGGAAAAAAAAAAAACCCAAAACAATCAGTTGAAGCTGGAATCACAAAAATACATAAACCCCAGAAACTACTGGCCTGGATTCCCAGTCCAATTATTTTTATTGGTCTTCTGAAGTCAGAATTTTGTTCCTTCTGTGCAGCTTCTTCGCTTCGTGGCCGCATTATTTGAGCATTTGGTTGAAATTTGGGGTGGTTTTATTATTTTTTTTTTTTTTTTTGCTTGAACGCATTCAAAATCGTAAAAGTATGTGCAAAACAGGGGAGGATGCTATTCAACAGGGTCATAAAATCAGTATTAAGCAGGCGTCCGGGTTCTGGTCCAAGCCTTTGGAATGTTTCAGGGGCCGTGGTATCAGATCCCGGAGTAACGACGAGCGGCGCTCGCCAGGCGGGGATGGAAACGGGAGAAATCCAAGGAAAAAGAGGCAGTGGATGGAGTTCCAAGACAACCACTTGTTTTTATGTTGGGTTGATAAGGATGCTACAGACAGCAGGAGGGCGGTTTGGCCACAGGGAGATGGGCAGTTCCTTTGGATATTGGGAAGGAATTCCTGGCTGGGAGGGTGGGGAGGCCCTGGCCCAGGTTGGCCAGAGAAGCTGTGGCTGCCCCTGGATCCCTGGAAGTGTCCAAGGCCGGGTTGGACAGGACTTGGAGCAACCTGGGCTGGTGGAAGGTGTCCCTGCCCATGGCAGGAGATGGGACTGGATGATCTTTAAGGTCCATTCCAATCCAAACCATTCTGGGATTTTATGAAAGGAAGGGGCTGTGCCACTGACCCACATTGTTAGAGGGTCAATATTAATGACAGGGACTCTTCTCCCTCCAATCTGCTCTGAATGGTGATTTTTTCCCTGAAAGACAGAGCCCAGAATTGATCATTTTATTTTTAAGTGATTTAGGGTTGCTTAGTTGTGCCATTAATTTGAATTAAGATTTCTGTTTAATCTGAGTGGCCGTGGGAGAGTTCAGGTTCTGGTGCAGGGGAAGAACTGAGGGAGCAGATTGTGATAATGGGGAAGAATTCAGTGAGCAGGTTCTGGTAATGGGGAAGAATTGAGGGAGCAGAGTCTGATAATGGGGA